AAATGAACCGCCCGGATCTGTGACCCCAGGAGCTTTTTGGACGCCTCTGCAGAAGGTCCCCTGGGTTGTCCGGTGCTCCTGGAAACCCTTGCCTGGCCTAATCAGGCACCGCACCCAAATCGGTCAAGAAGGCGGACGAACGGCCCCGCGGGAGCCCCAAGAGGCCCCAGACACCCACCAGGAACCCGAAGACGACCCAAAGAAGACCCCCTCAGAAGCATCCGAAACGCAAAAGAACATTGATTTGCCATAGACTTTTGCATGATTCTGAGAACGCTCTGTTCGTCGGTCTGCCCGGCATCCGAGACCGCATAGGAGGGCAGAACGTCACACCAAAATTACTAAAAAAATCTTCCAGGCAGTCCAAGAGAGCCCCAAGACGGCCCAACAGGACCCCAAGACGGCCCGAAGAGAGCCCCATGACGGCCCAACAGAGCCCCAAAACGCCCCGCGAAGCATCTCAAGTCGTGACCAGTTCGTTCACGGAAACCGCGGTTGGAAGCAGGGTGACCCGAGGAAGCCCCCAGAGGCCCCCAGAAGGAAGTCATGAGGCCTCCAGACAGCCCCAAGTAGCCCTTAAACACTTTCGTGAGGCCCACAAGAGGCTGTCCAAGGATGAGCCTCTGCAAAAGGAGCCAAGGAGGATGGGGACAAAATTCGCAGTACAGGTTCAATGAGGAAGAAGAAGAGGAAACATGAGGGAAGGATAACGCATACCATTAGTATCACGACGATGTTGGAGACGGCAACAAGGAGTTATCGTTAAGTTTGCAGTTTTACCTTCCTGCCCTGCCGCCCGCATGCTAAATATTCAGTACCAAGGTACATGGCGCGAAGCGCCAGTGCAGTCTTTTATGTGTATAGATAGATAATCATGTAGATTCCGATATATATATATAGATATATATAGACATACCTATACGACTACCCTTCGGGTGATAAGGAGGTTCGGGGGGGGGAGGAACCAACGTCTCACTCGATCGGTCTCACTATCGATCTCACTATCGATCTCAGTATCGGTCTCGCTCGATCGATCTCCCTCGATCGATCTCACAATCGATCTCACAATCGATCTCACTCGATCTCACTCGATCTATCTCACACTCGATCTCACTCGATCATCATCATCATCATCATCATCATCATCATCATCATCATCATCATCATCATCATCATCATCATCATCGTCCTCATCATCATCAGCATCATCATCATCAGCATCACCATCATCATCATCATCATCATCATCATCATCAGCATCAACATCAGCATCAGCATCATCAGCAGCATCATCATCAGCATCATCATCATCATCATCATCATCATCTCATCATCATCATCATCATCATCATCATCATCATCATCATCATCATCATCATCATCATCATCATCATCATCATCATCATCATCATCATCGCGGGACACCGCGGGACACCGGCGGGACACCGCGGGGCACCGCGGGACACCGCGGGACACCGCGGGACACCGGCGGGACACCGCGGGCCACCGGCCGCCCGGAAGGGAGACATTTGGTCCGGCCGCGCCTCAGCCACACGGGACACCAGCGGGACACCGGCGGGACACCGCGGGCCACCGGCCGCCCGGAAGGGAGACATTTGGTCCGGCCGCGCCTCAGCCACAGGAGACTTTCTTCTCGCCCGCCCACGCAGCTTCGCCTCGCCCGCACGCACGGCACGCACGAACACGAAACCGAAATCGATTTCCCGGTAGGGGGGCTCTCCGTTCCACTTCGATCTCACCCCCTCACCTCCGATATACCTATACGACAACCCTTCGGGTGATAAGCAGGTTCGGGGGGGGAGGAACCAACGTCTCACTCGATCGGTCTCACTATCGATCTCACGATCGATCTCAGTATCGGTCTCGCTCGATCGATCTCCCTCGATCGATCTCACAATCGATCTCACAATCGATCTCACTCGATCTCACTCGATCTTTCTCCCACTCGATCTCACTCGATCATCATCATCATCATCATCATCATCATCATCATCATCATCATCGTCCTCATCGTCCCCATCATCATCAGCATCATCATCAGCATCACCATCATCATCATCATCATCATCATCATCATCATCAGCAGCATCAACATCAGCATCAGCATCATCAACAGCATCATCATCATCACCATCCTCCTCATCATCTCATCATCAACATCAGCATCAGCATCATCAGCAGCATCATTATCATTATCATCATCATCATCATCATCATCATCATCATCATCATCATCATCATCATCATCATCATCATCATCATCATCATCATCTCATCGCGGGACACCGCGGGACACTGGCGGGACACCGCGGGGCACCGCGGGACACCGCGGGACACCGCGGGACACCGCGGGACACCGGCGGGACACCGCGGGCCACTGGCCGCCCGGAAGGGAGACATTTGGTCCGGCCGCGCCTCAGCCACACGGGACACCAGCGGGACACTGGCGGGACACCGCGGGCCACCGGCCGCCCGGAAGGGAGACATTTGGTCCGGCCGCGCCTCAGCCACAGGAGACTTTCTTCTCGCCCGCCCACGCAGCTTCGCCTCGCACGCACGGCACGCACGAACACGAAACCGAAATCGATTTCCCGGTAGGGGGGCTCTCCGTTCCACTTCGATCTCACCGCCTCACCGCCGATATATACATATATACACACTTATATTTACTTATATATATATATATATATATATATATATATATGAATATACATATAAACTTAATTCTATATATATATTTATATATATACACATACACACGTATACACACATGGCCTTCGGCCTATCCCGCCACCGTGCCTGGGTTGTGGGTCAGAAGCCTCTTGCATGCTCGTTTGGATCTCGTAGGAGGTCTCCTCGGAGGCCTCCAGGAGGCAGTTCTAAAGACTGTTGGGGGCTGTTTCGGGGCCTCTTGGGGGCCTTTGGGGGCCTCTTGGGGACCTCAGGCCTCTAGGGGCCTCCTGGGGGCCTCTTGGGGCGGAAGGCTCGGATTGTCGGTTCGTGTTCCCCCTCTTGGAACCGTCTTGGGTCCGTCCGGGTCGCAGCTTGGGCCGTCTTGGGGCAGTTTTGGGGCCTTCGTGGAGGCGTCTTGTGGCGGTTTTGGCGGCCTCTTGGGCCGTCTTGGATCGTCGGAAATTCGAAAAGGCAAGAATCCAAAAAAGAGTTGAAAATTCCAGGGGAACCACTGAGATTTGTTTCTAGGGCCCTCTTGGAGCGCTCTTGGGGCCTCTCATCTTGGTCGTTTTGTGGCAAAGTTGGACCGCCTTGGATACATTTTGGGCCCTCTTGGGCGCTTCTTGGGTTCCTGCTGGGCCGGCTGAGCTTCCTGGGGACGCACGCAGCACACTGTGGAAATCCCAAGAAGTCTCAAGACATTCCCAGGAATCATTGTGAGACCCGTGGTCCCCCTACCCCTCGATCTTTCAGGGCTGCATGAGCCTTGGGACACTCCACTACATGCTGAAGCTGCGGTGGTGAATGAATCAACAGACATGTGTACATATGTGTATGCAACATATGTTCATACGTGTATACATGCATAACATCTATATACATACATACATATACATACATAGATGTACATGTATACATTGATGCGTTTCTATATACGTACACGTATCTATATATATATATATATATATATGTATATAGACATTTGTATATACATATATATATATAACAGGTTGAGCCCCAAGCAGTGTGTTTTTTTGTCATACATGTTGTGCAGGCCATGTGTTGCAATAGATGTGGTTTACTATATTTTGTGCACCCCATGTGGTGAAATATATGCTGCGCATTACATGTGGAGCAATCAATGGGTTTGCATTCAAGTTGTGCAAGCTTTGTGGTGCAGTCTATGTGATGCAGCCTACGCGGTGCAGTATAGAAATGTATGGTGTGCACTCTATGTGGTGCAATGTAAGTTGTGCCATCCATGGGGTGCAAAGTATGTGGCTCAAATCATGGTGTGCAAGAGATGCTGTGCAGTCGAAGTGGTGCAACCTATGTTGTGCACTCCTACGTGGTGCAATCTAGGTAGTGCAGTCTATAGTGTGCACTATTCGGCAACACATGTGGTACAATCTTTTTGTTGCAACGTATGTTGTGCAAGCTATGTGGTGCTATCTATGTGGTGCAGTATTTGCGTTGCAATCGACGCGGCGCAATCCATGTTTCGCAATCTAGGGCGGCGACGGGGCGTTGACGGCGGCCACATAGCCGCCAGACCGACAGACAGGCCCAGACGACGGGCGGCGACGAGGTGGCGACACGGCGGCGACAGGGGCGCCGACGGCGGCCACATAGCCGCCAGACCGAAGACGCGGCCCGCTTCCTTCGAAAAGAAGTAAGGACCCCTAAGTGCAAGCATACACCGAGTGAGAGAGAGACAGGGAGAGACAGAGAGAGACAGAGAGGCAGGGAGACAGAGAAGGAGAAAGAGAGAAAGAGATGGAGAGCGAGGCTATAAGACAAGGGGGAAGGCCTACCCACACACGGCCAAGACTGCCCTTCGCGGCCCTGGGCCCTGGGCAGTTGGACAACAGGCTGGCAAAACGGAAGGCCTACCCACCCACGGCCAAGATTGCACTTCACGTCCCTTGGCCCTGGGCAAGCGAGCAACAGGCTGGCAAGAAAATGGGGGAGGAGGGGCAGGGAGGAGGAGGTGGGAGGTGGTGGTGAAGGAGGCGGACAACGAGGAGGAAAACGAGGAGGGGAAGCAGGAGGAGACAGGGGGAGGGGGAAAGGAGGGCGGAGGATGGGGGAGGGAGGACAAAGCTACTGTCAACCCACACAGCCTTAAGGATGGCCCGTCCCTGTTGCAGGAGGAGGAGGAGGAGGAGGAGGAGGAGGGAGAGGGAAGGGAAGGAGGGAGGGAGGAGGAGGGAGGGGAGGAGGGCGGAGAAGGAGGAGCACGGGTAGCAGGAGGCGGAAGAGGAGGAACGGGGCCCGGCTTCGTGGGGTAACTGGCGGCGTCCGAGGCTTGGTGCGACTTGCCCTCTAACGTGTGCAAGGCCAGCCCGACCCCCAAAGCCCGAGGGCAGCCTGGCCGCTTCCTCCTCCGTCTCCTCCCTCCTCCTCCTCGTCCTCCTCCTCCTCCTCCTCCGCTTCCTCACTTCTATTCCTGTTCCTCCTCATCATCATCAGCATCACCATCATCATCATCATCATCATCATCATCATCATCATCAGCATCAGCATCAGCATCAGCATCAGCATCATCATCAGCATCAGCATCAGCATCAGCATCATCATCATCATCATCATCATCATCATCATCATCATCATCATCATCATCACCATCATCATCATCATCATCATCATCATCATCATCACCATCATCATCATCATCAGCATCATCATCAGCATCAGCATCAGCATCAGCAGCATCATAATCATCGTTATCTTCATCGCCATCATCGTCATCATCGTCATCAGCATCAGCACCAGCATCATCAAAATAGTCATCCCGATGTACTCATCATCACCACCACCAGCACTAGCATCAGCATCAACATCATGACCATCATCATCATCAGCATCGTCATCGTTATCGCCACCATCAGCATCAGCATCATTGTCATCATCATCATCATCATCATCATCATCATCATCATCATCATCATCATCATTGCCATCATCAGCATCATCAGAATCGTCAGCAGCATCAGGATTACCATCATCGTAATCATTTATCAGCAGCAGCATCAGCAGCAGCATCATTATCAGCATCATCATCAGCATCAGCGTCATCATCCGACTCCCCCTCATCCTCCTCCTTTGCCTGCTCCTCATGAGCCTGCGCCTCCGCCTCTTCCTCATCCTCATCCTCCCCCTCCTCGTCATCATCATTATCATCAGTATCATCACCATCATTGTCATCATCAGCATTATCATCAGCATCAGCATCAACATCGTTATCAGTATCAGCATCATTATCATTATCACTACCATTATTACCATCATCCTCCTCATCGTCCTCCGCCTCCTCCTTCTCCTCCGTCTCCTCCTTCTGCTCCCTCGTGCTGCCTGTCCCATCTCCTCAGCCTCCGCCTGGTCCTCCTCATCCTCCTCAGCCTCCGCCTCCGCCTCCTCCTTCTTTAGTTTCTTTTGATGTGCGCTCTGTCGCTGGTCGCCTGTGGAACGTCGTCTTCCACAGTTGGGCAGACATGTCCTCTCCGATGGGCTGCACCCCGTATGTGACCTTCTCGGACCTCCCTCTTCGAGCCGATCTTAGTTACTCCCCCTCCTCCTCCTCCTCCTCATCATCATCATCATCATCCTCATCAGTATCATCCTCCTCCTTCTCCTCCTTCCATTCCCCCTCAGCATCATCATCAGCAGCATCGGCATCAGCATCAGCAGCATTGTCATCCTCATCATCATCATCAGCATCATCATCAGCATCACCATCGTCACCCCCATCATCATCAGCAGCAGCATCAGCAGCATCATAATCATCGTCATCATCATGGCGCTGCCGTTTTGCTTAGATCCTTCTAGCAACGCGGCGTCTTTTCTACCTTCTCGAGCAGGTGGGACATCCCAGACAAGCCAACACTACGAATCTTGATGTCTTAGCTTCGAAGACGAGGCTCGATTACTTGGCCACCCACGTTAGGTGGAGCTGGTGCTGATGGACGGAAGTCGCGATGTAAGCCGCTTTGGATGCCCAAGTCCGAGGACGTGACCAACGAGGAGTACGCCTCGTTCTTTAAATGCCTGTCCAAAGAGTGGGAGGACCACTTGGCCGTGAAGCACTTCAGCGCGGAAGGCCAAATGAGGTTCCGCGCGCTGCTCTTCGTGCCGCGCTGTGCACCTAGTAAATTTTTCGAGCCCAAGGAGAAGCGCAACAACATCAAAGTGTATGTGTGGCGCGTCTTCATCATGGACGACTTCAACGAGCTGATGCCGGCGTAGCTCAATTTCGTGAAGGGCGCGGTCGTTTGTGAGGATTTGCCGCTGCACATCCCCCGTGAGTCGCTGCAGCAGAACAAAACTTTGGTCGCGACCATCAAGAATCTCGGCAAGAAGGGCCTCGAGGTGTTCGCGGAGATTGCCGAGGAGCAGGATGACTACAAGAAGTTGCACGAGCAGTTTGGGAAGTGCCTTAAGCTGCGCGCGCACGAGGATTCCACCAACCGTACCAAGGTCGCGGAGCATTTGAGCTACCACACCGCGAAGTCTGGAGATGAGACGATCCGCCTGAAGGTCATGAGGGAGGGGCAGAACGTCATCGCCTACATCACGGGGGAGAGCATCGCAGCGGCGTCGTCCTCGCCGTTCTTGGAAGCGCTGCGCAAGAAGGGCCTCGAGGTCCATCAAAGTCATTCATGATTCGCTAAATTGATGCACTATCCACCTCGCATGACGTGAGCGGCGCCTTGAGGTAAGTCCTCGAGGGCCCCGAGCGTTTTTCACCTCCTGGAATCTCTTAGCTCTATAGGGGGTGCGCTTAGGGGGGGCAGCGCCGTAGCACCCCACATGTTATGTGTTGTACATGCTCGTGTGGTGTTTTAAGACGCGAAGCTTGTTGGTCGAAGGCTCGCGGTGGCCCACTGACCTGGGTTCCAGGATTTACAATCCATTGCCTTGCACTTGTGTTGTCCAGGGAGCTCACATGGGGACTGAACAACTGAACCGCCATCACATCATCATCAGCTCGTCATCACCTTCATAATCAGCATCACCATCACCATCACCATCATCAGAATCACCCTCCCTCCCTCGCGCCCCCCTCCCTTCCCTCCTCGTGAAGAGGAGGAGGAGGAGGAGGAGAAGGAGGAGGAGGGGTCGAGGTCCCAGGGTCGAGAGAAAATGGTTTGGAATCTTTTCTTGTCGCCCTGGGGCACCCAAGGGCATCAGGAGGCCTGCGACGGCCTCCGCAGCCCTGCGGGGACCTCCGCGGTCACCGTCGCCCTCGTCGTGATCGCCGCCGCAGACCGCACCGTAATATGTTCAATCCTGGCGTTTTTCCTTCGAAGGAGGAAGAACGACACGAACATAAACTGTCGGCGGTCCGCGCGGATCTCCTGGATTTGCGTTGGGCCCCGCCGGCGGCGCATCCGCCGCCCCTTGCGCGCTCCGCGCGCCAGGGAGGGGGTTCCAGCCCAGCTCGAAGAAATTTCGCTGGACCGTCGGAAATTTATGTTTACGCCGTCCTTGCTTCCTCTATTTCCGTTCATCGAAAACACCTGCGGCGAATCACCGTCGCCTTTTGTTTTCCGGAAGATGCCGAGGTAACCAAACGTTGGGCCAGGGCTTGGCCAAGCTAGTGGGTGTTGTGTTCCCCAGGCCATGGTGGACACCTTTGGGAGAACACTTGGGGAAGACAGTGGAGGAGTAGAGGGATGGGGACAAGGAGGAGGACGAGGAGGAGGAGCTCTGCCAGGGGGTGCGGGCATCCAAGTTGGCCCGCAGCCCAACAACAGGGCTGCCAAACCAGCAGCCCGCGAACTCACTTCGGAATCGCACCCATCGCATCTTCCAGACCTCGGCTCTAAGCCCCCATCCTTCATCCAGACGTGGCGGCTTGAAGCCGCTCGTGGAGGTCAGCCAGCGCAAGCCCCTGCTCCCTCACGCTAGCCCGAGGGGGGAAGCCTGCGCGAAGAGGCCGAGTGCCTGGATGCGGAGGCGCCTCGCCGCCTCCTCCGCCTGCCCGGCCTCCTCGGCCCTGCATCTCCTCCTGCGGAGCGCTTCGGCCCAGTTGGCCGCGATGCGCTCGACCACAGCGGGCGGCGGGGGGGGCGGCGGCGGCGGAGCTGGGGGAGGGAAGGAGAGGCGAGGCTCCTCCTGCCCTTCCCTTGCAGCAGAAGAGAGCTCAACTGCCACTGAACGCGTGCCCTGGAGCTCTTGCCCCGAAGGAGGCAATGGAGTTTCCTGCTAACGACGGATCCGCCAGATGCTAGACCCTCGCTTGGCAGCCAACTTCTTAGCAAAGTCTGGCCCAAACTCTGGGGGCCCAGGGAACAAAGAGCGTGGTGGTGTAAGCCCCACCTTGCTAGGCTGTTTGTTATGCCCAGTCTCGAGATCATCCCACGACTCCTCTAGCCCATGTGGCATAGTCTGCACATGCAGCAGGTAGTAGGCAAAGAACCCCGGATTTCACGACGAAGCGTGGCGAGTAAGGATATGCCTCTAGGGAAAAAATCCTAGACACGTTGAACACCATTCAGTCGCCACGAACCTCTGGACTGAGCCAGCATGAGTGAGACGAGTAGCTCGAAGGTGCACCTCAAGTGCCTTTCTGGGGCCGAACTGGGAAGGCGCCGCATAGCGGGCACTGAAAAGGCACGGTGGGGGGCATTAGTTAAGAAGTGTGCCCAGGAGGTTTCAGACCCTGGAGGATTCCTTACCTGGTGCGGGTGGCGGTGATCTCCATGGCCAAGCCCCGACTGGAGTTCCAGCGGTTTCCAGACCCTGGATTCCTCATTCTGCGGCTCCTTATCCAATGCCCCCGCCGTAGCGGAGCGAGTGCCACGTGAACGCCCCGAGGTGGAGGAATACCATGTCGATTAAGAAGCCCCAGTACTCGCGTCTCCCAAGACATCCCCAGATCGCCCCTCTTGATTTGCTTGCACAACTGCTGCCAGAGCCCCGCGAGCTTGGACCTTCCCTGCAGAGGGAGACGCCCGGATATGCTTCACCCATTCACCAGTATCGGTCGAAGGGAGCGGAAACCGCGCAAAAGCACAATGCGTACGAGTCCAAGACACACCATCAAGCATGTGATGCAACCAAGAACCACTCGTCTCAGCCACACTAGCTGCGACATACTCCGCGCTCAGAAGGCAGAGCAACAGTGGATGCGCTGCCTGCAATACCTGCGCAGACAGGGGTCGCCTCCTAGCTGCTGGAAGCTCCTTAACATGGGGCCTCCCAGCTCGCGCCGGAATCTACGAGCCAGCAGGACAGGAGGAAGAGGAGGCCTTTTGGGACCTGCTGCGGGCTTCCTGGGGACCGCTCGGGGGCCTCTGGGGCCCCAAGGGCTCTTGGGAGGGCCCTGGAAGCCTCT